GTAGGCATGGGCAGACGAACAATAAAGGATTAATCTCAAACTCCAGCTGCGTTTTAAATGAGGTTATGACATTATAACATGATTTAAAGCTCAAGTATAATTTAGTGTATTATAGGAACTAATGTTGTAGTACTCGAGACCGGTCTTGGTATTGAGTCCGGCCTTTTTTTGCAGTCTTGGTCTCGTCTCGGCCTCAACCGCGTTTGGACTTGTCTTTTTCTTGAAGGCTCTTGGACTCGGTCTTGTCTCCGTCTCAAGGTCTGAGACTCGACAAGTGATAAAATGGAGATAGATTTATATAAACATTGATAAATAAATGTGACAAAAAGAAAATGACAAAGATGGTCTTGATTTGGTCTCAATGGGCCGTGGTCTCGGTTTTGTCTTGGTCTCTGCCTTTAAAAATCTCGGTCTTGTCTCAGTCTCGATCTTAAAAAGTCTCGGTCTTTGCCTTTAAATGGTTCGGTCTTGTCTCGGTCTTGGTCTCTAAAAGTCTTGGTCTTGTCTCAGTCTTGGTCTCTGGTCTCTAAAAGTTTCTCTTGTCTCGGTCTTGGTCTCTAAAAGTCTTGGTCTTGTCTCAGTCTTGGTCTCTAAAAGTTTCGGTCTTGGTCTCTAAAAGTCTTGGTCTTGTCTCAGTCTTGGTCTCTAAAAGTTTCGGTCTTGGTCTCTAAAAGTCTTGGTCTTGTCTCAGTCTTGGTCTCTAAAAGTTTCGGTCTTGTCTCGGTCTTGGTCTCTAAAAGTCTTGGTCTTGTCTCAGTCTTGGTCTTGTCTCAGTCTTGGTCTCTAAAAGTCTCGGTCTTGTCTCGGTCTTGGCCTTTAAAAGTCTCGGTCTTGTCTCGCCTCTGCTTTTAAAAGTCTCGGTCTTGTCTCGTCTCTGCTTTTAAAAGTCTCGGTCTTGTCTCGTCTCTGCTTTTAAAAGTCTCGGTTTTGTCTCGGTCTCAGCCTTTAAAAGTCTCGGCCTTGTCTTGGTCTCAACCCTCAGAGGTCTTGGTCTTGTCCTGGTCTTGGGACCCTATGGTCTCAGACTGGCTTTGGTCTCAATTAGTCCAATCTTGACTACTACAATAATAGAAACTTTAAAAATGCATGTATTTTAAGTTTTTTTGTGCAGAAGTATCTGAGTACAGACAAAGCAAAGTGCAGTAAACACTGGGACACACTCCCGGAAAAACAAGAACATATCAGTGACGCAAGCGGCCAGCAAACCCATTTCCCACCCAAAATATGACGTAGTGCATGAATAATCCCTATTTTTGACTGAACCAAACAATCTTGACATTTGTTATCTCAATGCACACGTCAAAACTGTCTGTGATTCAGCTCAAAAATCTGTCTGTCCTGTTTGACTTGTCTGACCTGCCCTTGTTGAACATTCAGAAAAGCTTCTGGTTATAGTCCTTGACCAGACAGGTTTTGGTGTTGCTTTGAGCGATGTGGTAGAACCAGGGAGTGGCTTTATGAGTGTAATAAGGAAATGGGGATCTACCAGAGCTATGTCAACAAGCACACGTTTTAAGACACAATGACTTTGCAAAATCATTCAGCGTAAATGGTCCTGACTAGGCTTTGTTTTTGTGCCTATAAAAAGTGCTGCGTGGCTGTGGGAGTACGTAAATACGTCAGAGGAGGTGTTTCTATTATTGGGTCGTTTTAGACAAATATTGTGATTTGAAATGTCCAAGTTATAACATAATGATCCAAAGTGTCACAGATTATAACTTTAAATTGAATTGGACTGGTGAATTAAATGAGTTAAGTTGAATATTCTGTTGACTGTCATTACAAGGCCCAACGAAAACACTTGACAAACATGCACGAGGTCCAGGTGGACTTGGGCCTGCTCTTGTGCAGAGCCTGGTGATCTGTACACAGTCACGCTAATTTTTTCCACCCAGAGGTGATACTTGTGGTGCTGGGTGTAATGAGGCCAGTGTTTGTCCAGAGGAGGAGCTCTGTGTGCACTACATGCTTTTGTTTCACATTTTTCTTATTTAGTTACGGTACATATGATATTGTGAACATATAGCAAATATTAGAGTTCATAATGCTGTGTTAACTTTGGTTTGTTGCAAAATACAGATGTACAGAGAACTTTCCTGGCATGTATTTACTGTACAGAGCAAGTGAAAAGAGTTTCTGAAGGGCTATGGTTAGGGATGAAAACAATAATCAAAATATTGTGATTTCGTATTGTCAAAGTTTTCACAATAATATCGTGGACCATCACAATATATCGAATTACAAGTCTCTTTGCGTATAGATTAAGAGTTATGGTGAAGCAATAGCAAAAAAAACTAAACAAAACAGGGAACTACATAGACCATGATCCTTTGCTCCATTTCAGTGCAGACGACAAGAAGAAATATTGAGTTGTTTTTTTTTCCACAGCCTCCACATAAAATCGCAATAAATATCATACTGTGAGATTTATATCATGAAAATATCGTATCGTGAGACTTGGATATCGTTACACCACTAGCTTCGGAGGTGCTGTATCTGATGTTTACAAAATGTTTAGTCTCTGAAAGCTGTGAATCACAGGAAACAACTAGCATGCTAAGGCACACTTCGGGATTATAGACGCAAGACACATTTTTGGAGCAGTAGTTTTGGAGAAGAAGTAGTGGTAGTAGTAGTAGTGGTGGTAGTACTAGTGGTGGTAGTGGTAGTGGTAGTACTAGTAGTAGTAGTAGTGGTGGTAGTACTAGTAGTGGTAGTGGTAATGGTAGTACTAGTAGTGGTAGTAGTAGTAATGGTGGTAGTACTAGTACTGGTAGTGGTAGTAGTAGTACTAGTGGTGGTAGTACTAGTACTGGTAGTGGTAATGGTAGTACTAGTGGTGGTAGTACTAGTACTGGTAGTGGTAGTAGTAGTGGTAGTACTAGTAGTGGTAGTACTAGTAGTGGTTGTACTACTACCACCACCACTAGTACTACCAGTACTAGTACTACCACTACTAATACCACTACTAGTACTACCACTACCAGTACTAGTACTACCACTACTAGTACTACCACTACTAGTACTACCACTACTAATACCAGTACTAGTACTACCACCACTAGTACTACCATTACCACTACCAGTACTAGTACTGGTAGTGGTAGTACTAGTAGTAGTACTAGTGGTGGTAGTACTAGTACTGGTAGTGGTAGTACTAGTAGTAGTACTAGTGGTGGTAGTACTAGTACTGGTAGTGGTAGTACTAGTAGTGGTATTAGTAGTGGTAGTACTAGTACTGGTAGTACTAGTAGTGGTTGTACTGGTAGTGGTAGTGGTAGTAGTAGTGGTAGTGGTAGTAGTAGTGGTAGTACTAGTACTGGTAGTGGTAGTACTAGTAGTGGTATTAGTGGTGGTAGTACTAGTAGTGGTAGTAGTAGTGGTAGTAGAAGTACTATCTGTGCTGTGGTCCAAGACAAGAAAAATATCTGATGAAGGCTTTTTTTGCCGAAACGTTATTTTGTTAATAAAATAGTATTTGGACATCGGCCAACCAAGTGTGCTATGCATTTTTTCACTCTGATCTGGCTACTCCTTGCATTTGCACCTCTGCAGAAATCTTGGTGTGCGTTTTCTGTTTTCTTTTTAGTAGAAGTACTATCACCATATAATATTGCAGTTTATCCATTCAGGCCCTGTTTATATGTATATGGGTATTTTTAAAAACCGAAACATTTCCCTTCGTTTGTGCTCATCTTTTACACACTGTGGGGAAGTTGGCCAAAGCAGGAGGCAGACAACAACAACAAAAAAATAATAATTTTAAAACAGACTTCTGGAGTTAACACCAAATAAAGTCCAAGTCCAAATAAACAGAAAATAACTCAAATCAAAACCACCAAATAACCTGCACAGAAGTCTCTCTCTCTCTCAATTAATGACACCTGCTTTGCGTGTTTACTCCGCCCTGCAGGAAGTCCCTCCCCCCAGGTGAGGATCAGTTCCAGGTCACTCTTCAGAGCAAAGTGATGATTTTTCCTGGACCCAATTCCCCTTTTTAAAATTAAAATATTTAACATAAACCAAACTGTGCTGAAAATAACTATAAAACGAAATACACAAAAAATAATGAAACAGAACTTAAACCGGTTTTCCCCTCCACATGGTCCAGCCCCCGACCTCCTCCAAGGTTTTAAAAAATGGCCGACATGAGGCACACTCCCTCTTTTGTCTGGACCATGTGGAGCTGCAGGTGAATAAGATGAACAGAAACTGAAATGAATTAACAAATAAAGTGTATTTAAATGTCTAATGTGATAATTAACAAAAAGAACCAGGAATTATTGTAACTGTATTGGGTATTGAGAATGACAAAATGTGAAATTCAATAAATGTGAGTTTAAAATGGGACAAAGACCGACTTTGTCACACACGCAAACCGCAAATTCGCATCTGAAAACAAATCTTTCTAAAAAATCTAGAGTGGAGATTCTGAAAAACTACGGTTTGGCGTTTGTGTAAAATGAGATAAACGTGTTTTAGGAGTTGACGTGACAAAAGTGCGTCCAATGTTTTATCTTTTTCTCTGATGATGATCATGGCGCATCAGAGCAGCAGTCGCATTTCTTCTGGTGCAAACACAGCTGATGTTTCATGTCCATGACCAGAGACGAATGAGGCTCGGAGGTCAGCAATTTTTACATTTTTTAACAGATTTGTGGAGAGGCGAGCCCGCTCAGTAATGCAGGTTTTTCAAGGTATTTTTGAGTAAAACTTAGAACTGTAATGAAATAAATGCTACAGGTTTGAATCTAATCCAGGTGCCGCCCAGAGGCTCGGTGTAGTTATAACGGCGCTCAGTGGTGTATTTATGTGGGTTGATTTAAATGAAAACTATGCTCTGTGCACAATGTTATTTTGGAAAATGGAGGGAGGGGAAATATTCGTTTCTCAACATACTCGGCTTTGTGGAAACGTAGCCTCAATTTCACCTCACTAAATTGTCTATCTTGTTTAGCTTAAAATAATCCAAACCATTGTTCTTTTGTTTTATTTTCCAGAGACGATTGGCTTTGAAGGACATGCACCCACCCTGGACAGATTTTCAAACAGACTGTAGAACTTGTGGCATCGGGATTAGAAGCCTCCTCGTTCCGCCTATGTCGAGATTAACTCTTTGGAGATGTGGTCCGCCGTGCTGGAACTTGTTTGTACGGGTGCCAAACTTATTAACTTATTACCCGGTTCTTGGACAGTTTTCCGATGCCTTCCCAAACTAAACCAGGATCACAGAAGCTCCGTCAGCTGCGGACTGCTCTTACTACCAAGCAGCTGGGGCTAAAGTTGATATTTCTGTAAAGTGAAGTAAAAGTGCTGCAGTAATTTTAGTATTAAGATAACTATAAAAATGGAAATGTAATAATATATTGTGTGTATATATACAAAATTTCAAAATGTTTACTATGTCGACATGAAGCTTAGACATAGTAGTAGAACATAGTAGTGGACAAGAGTACTTTTTAAATGCTCAATTGAAGTATGCAAACACTGCCTACCTCTGCTGTTGTAAATTATTTTGGCGGGTATGAGTTTTTTTGAGTTTTCGTCAAAGCCGTGCCCAAACCGGTGCCATTAGACATGATGGATTCGTGAATTGTCTGGGAGCATCAGAAAGACTTTTTGGACTTAGCAGAGTTTGCACAGTATTTACCGAGAATGCACTGTCCTATGAGGAGGAAGCGTCCAACCCGGGACTCCGACTTCTCTGCCATCGTGGTGCCCTCTATGCACGGGTCCGGGTACCTGGACTACACTGTGGAGAGCCACGCCTCCAAATGCCTGAGCGTAATGGACCAGTTCAGAAGACAGGAGGTGCTGTGTGACCTGGTGCTCCATGTGGCACACAAAGACACTGTTGTGGATTTTAAGGTGAGCAAATAACAACAAGAGCGTTCTAAGGCTACGTTCAGACTGCAGGGTTTAATGCTCAATTCAGATTTTTTTTTTTTTTTTTGCGAGGTCATTCACATTTCCAATAAAATGTGGTGTGTGTGATCTCCAGTGTGAACTTTAAACGCCCCAAAAGTGTCCCGCATGAGCATTGGAGGACACGATGACGTCACACACAGCGAGAGTGCTCAGTGTTTACGGAAGTCGCCTAAACGCTGGGCTTGTCTTCTAAAATATGGTCCAGTTTTTCATAAAATGGACAGGTCACACGTCCACAGCCCACAGTCCACAGTTTGAGACTTTATCCTCCTTGTATTTGGCTCGTAGGCTCTTTATTTATTTGTTGACATTGGAGCCAGGACCACCTGTAGCCATGCTCGACCATTCCTTTGGCAATCATTTCAAAAACCGCCTGGTTCCGATAAGATCCCTCCAATTTGGCCTGAATACAGTGATCCCTCTAAATATTAACTCGCTAAACTCACTTTCCCTCCATTGACTAGACTCTCTGAGCCTGACGTGTAGGTGGGATGAATGTGACCTGACCTTTCAGGCTCAAGTTACATGTCAGCAGATCTGATATGTATCAGTTTTAGGAGCGCACATATCCACGTGGCCTGGGTCGCATTTGAAAAAAATCGGATCTGTGTCGTTCAGACTGTCATTAAAAGATCAGATTCAGGTCGCATAGGGACGAAAAAATAGGATTTGGGTCACTTCAGGCTGCAGTCTGAACGTAGCCTTAGACGGTGTTCTTCAAACTGTGGTACATGTACAGAAGCTCTTTCTGGTTTTACATGAGGTCCATTGTAGTTCGAATAGTTTAATTTAGTTTTCTTGTTAAATGAGATCATTTAAGCATTTTAGCATTTTTTTTATACAAAGTGACATGTGAAATGAAAGAACTCATTAGTCACCATCATTTTGAATAACTTTAAATTTCTCTCACCTCATATTTCAATCTTCGCTCATTTATCCTGCAAAAATCTGTTTTCATTTCCTTGCGATATAATTTTGTATGCAGCCATATTTGTTTTGAAATGGATGAACCATGTGTGTCTCTCATTGGCTAATCCACCTGTCAATCAAGCCCATCTGAATTCACATCTTGATAAACTATTGGAGAAGTGTTTTCTTCATCACAGGCAATAAATGTTAGTTCTGTCGTCTTTTGGTTAAATTCTCTTGTAGCTATAGTGTGGGATCCACTTCTCCAATACTTTATCACCTTATTGACTTATTGTTTAATAAATGATAAAAGTCCACTCCCCCTGAGCTGTCACAAAACTTTTTCACAAATTTTCCTTTATTATGTCAAAGGTAGAGACCCTGTACAGTTTGTAAGTCCAAAAATCATTGCCAAACTTGTTTAGACCTGATTTAGGCCAAATTTACACCTGGAATAGCTGAAAAAATGGACTCTGGAATACTAGTTGTACTTGGTATAAAAGGTTTGCGAACCACTGCTAAGAAAATACTTACAAATGCACGCGTAAGCATTTTGTCTTGTGTATTTGCAGGTACATAAGGTGGTCCTAGCGTCCTGCAGCTCATACTTCAGAGCCATGTTCACCAGTCACTTCAGAGAGTTTGCTGCGTCGGAGGTGACCCTGCGTGACGTCTGCCCCCAGGTTGTGGGAAGACTCATCGAATTCGCCTACACCGCCCGCATCACCGTGGGGGAGAAGTGTGTGCTGCATGTGCTCCTGGGGGCTATGAGGTAACAGTTCAGCCTCTAGTTTCACTTCTTAACATGAATATACACAATGTCACATCCTATTTTTCTGTTAGCGATAATCAGATTTGAGATTCGGTCATTTCTAATTGTCAATGGTTTTAATTCAAAGGTCTAAATTCAGACTTTGGAAGAAGAAATTTGCTACATCCATTCTTGTTTGATGAATCTTGTGCAGTAAGTCGGCTTCCACAAAACACTTGGTTTGAATTTTCCCAGGATTATGTCATAAGTTGCAGTTTTTAAATAAAAAAAAAAAATCCCTGGACTTGTTTTAAGAATTTCTGCTGTCAAAGCACGTTCATTAATACTGTGTGCTTACATCGGCATGTCTGTCCATGTTATCTAGTTGAAATGATTTCTTCATGGCAGTTCCCTCTTCTGCCAGTAAATGTAGATTTATTGTATGGGGAGCAAGCTGAAAAATGTCTGGTTTTATACATGATCAAGTTCTTAAATATTGAAAGATTGTTTGTTTTTAATTGGACAAAATAAAACTGAAATCAAAAATGGTTTGAGTGGAAAAAAAGCTACTTTGTTGTTGCAGGTACCAGGTGGAGGACGTGGCCAAAGCGTGCTGTGACTTCCTCACCAAACACCTGGAGCCCTCCAATGTGATCGGCATCGCGCGTTTCGCAGAAGAGATCGGCTGCACCGAGCTGCTGCAGAAGAGCCGCGAGTACATCAACACTCACTTCTGTCAGGTACTCCCTCTGCCCCAGTGTACAGTGGGGTTAGGGAGGGATGTGTGTGTCTGGTATCTGCCTGTAGGAAAGCAGGAGAAGATTAGGTGCCTGTTTCATTTCATGGCCATTTTACTTTTTTACTTTGTTTGATCCATTCTAAATTAAAAGTGAATGGAAGGGCAAAAGCAGAGCTAAAGTTGGTGGCACATGACATGATTTTAAAATCATCCACAAGTTTAAGACACAAAGTGCAGACCTCAGACAAAAGAACATTTTGTATAAAGGAAAAGTCTGAGGCTAACTGAGGACACAGACGCCACACACTTGTCCTGGCACAGACTGACGGAAGCGAGGCTTTCAATCTCCAACCACCATTAATCACTCACACACCTCATGGGTTCGAGGCAATGTGGGCGAAGTGCCTTGCCTAAGACAAATAGCGGTAGCAGAATCACACTTACCCCACAGACATGATTGGACGGCCAGGCCACACCTCCAGGCTCTCCTCTTACACGCAGACGTCCTCATTTGACCCTGGAAAACAAACGGTGTAATTTTACCTGACTGTTACTGTGCCTTACATAACTCATACCATAACTGTGCTTTTATCAAATGGTGAATGTGTAACCTGCCTGTGCCCTGTGCTCAGGTGACCAAAGAGGAGGAGTTCCTGAATCTGTCCCACTGCCAGCTGCTGGAGCTGATCAGCCACGAGAGCCTCAAGGTGCTCTGTGAGTCTGAGGTGAGGACACAACAAAACCAGCGCTTTTTGAAAAGAATCTTCACCGGCTCCTGCATCTGACTCTGTATAAACAGATTCCAGATACAACTTCAGACACACCCTCGCAATGTTTTTTTTACTCCTTACTACTTTTTATATACATACAGAAGACGAATATATGAAGTAAAATATATGTATTATGTAGCAAAGAAAACATGTAAATATTAAAATCCTCAAAGTAGACACTCTGCTTTGTTGAAAAAGTAGGGTGTTAGAGGGTGTGTCCCAACCTTTTGGTAGTGCATGTTTCAACAGCACCAGTCAGTTTTATTTTTAGTACGTTCTACATTTTAAATTTATACAGAAGACATTGAATATATGAAGTAACATATGTGAAATTATGTAGTAAAGAAGTACATTGTGTAACTTTTCTGGTGGAGGGTTTGTCAGATGCATTTCTTTCTCGAGATTGCTTTGTCTGGAATGTTTCACAATATGGTATTAAACCTTTCTATCTTCATGGAGGTCAAACTAGCGCAAGTTACAGGTCAGATCTGTGGAGAAGCAACGCTACTCGGTCAGAATGCCTGTTTTTCTAGGTATTTTTGAGCCATAAACCCACCTGTAATTGACTAAAAGTAAGGTAGAGCTGTTTAACCTTCACCACAAAAGTTACACAGTGCACCTTTAAATAACACTCGTATTTTTTTTTAATAAAGCAAAAGAATTGAGAATTAGAATATAGAGCATAAAAATGTAGTTATTTCCCTTTTTTTTTTTTTCTTACATAATTCTATATTGCGTCTCTAAAACACGGGTCTCCAACCTTTTTCCTTCAGTGAGCGCCTTTACAAAATGAAAATACCAAAGAGCTACTAATTTTAGCTGCTGCAAAAAATTGAATAAATATAAAATTTCAAAGAGGGAGGAGAGCTACAGGCTGGAGACCCCTGATCTAAAATGTAGAAAGTAGTAAAAATAAAGAAAACCATTGAATGAAAGGGTGTGTCCGAACGTTTGAATGGTGTATTTACATGTCTGTGTCTCTGTGTGTGTGTCAGGTGTACAAAGCGTGTACAGACTGGGTGCGCAGTGACATGGAGGTGCGCTCTCAGTACCTCCACGCCCTCCTCAACGCCATGCACATCTACGCCCTGCCCCCCAAGTTCCTCAAGAACCAGCTGCAGTCCTGCCCCATCCTCAGCAAGGTAAAAACACCAGCTGCACTGCGAGAGACAAAATCTGACGTAAATACGGATGTTAAACGTTAATATTGAAACTGAACCAAATTATACTTAAAAAGTATTCTTCATGTATAATTAGGGGTTTAACGGTACACAAAAATCATGGTTCGGTACGTACTTCGGTTTTGAGGTCATGGTTCAGTTCATTTTCGGTACAGTATGGGGAACAAAATGCAAAACTATTTGCTTGTTTGTGTTTATAAACATTTTGCTTTAACATCATACAAACAGGAAAATAAAATAAATGCAAAGTGCTGCTTAGTAATTCTAATAAGTTAAATAAAATATTCTCAAATAAGCAACAAATGTATGAAATATTATAAAAAATTAATTCCTTGTAAACAGTTAAAACTTTTCCAAAAGTAAAGCGCAGCACTAATAGTTTCAGCATGAAGTTTTACGCAATCTTCATATTTTTGGCAAGAAAAACCAACTTGTCCACATTGTCAGCAGTAAGTGCAGATTTGATGCAGTAACAACGTCCCCAGTGTTTGAAAATACTCTTATCACTACAGACAGATCACGGGTAAGAGGAGGGAAGTGGAGATGAAGTGCCGGCAAAAGGTGAAAGTGAGGAAAGGGGAGGGACAAGTAGTTTTGTGAGGATTCACATGATCCGGAGCGATGTAGTCAAACCGGGGGGGCAATTGTTGTCAAGGCTGTATAAAGTATAAAGCGCTGCGGGCCCCAATCATGGATGAGTTCCCTTTTTTGAATATTAAAGAGCCGAGTCTTCCGTGTAGCTGCACATGTAGTGGTGGAATGTAAACAAACAAAACTGCACAAATTCACTCGTTCACAGCCCTGCGCCAAACTGAACGTCCCGTATCGAAACGGTTCGGCATGAATACATGTACTGTTACACCCCTATGTACAATATTGTTAAAAAGACAAACTACAATACATGAATAACAGAATGCAACTCTTAAATGGCTCATGTTACAGAAAATTGACACTTGTGAACTTTGACACGTTATAATGTTACATCATCAAAAACAAACCTGGAGTTGTTTTGTTTCATTCACATGTATTTGAGTAACTTTTACATTTTATTGTCTATTTTTATTGTCAATGCTCTGTCCCACCTTGTGATGTCAAGAATCGGTACCTTTAGTTAAGTTTGGCAATTCCAGGGCTGAACCGATCCAAAAGATTCTAGTGAAGGTGTATGTAGTTTAAAAACACAGTGGAGAAAGTGGAACTCAGCCTAAATATGCAGGATTTGTGTTCATGTGAGCGAAACAAAACTCCAGGTCTGTTTGTGATGAGCAAACGTTATAACATGGATCAGAAATTATGATATATTGCTGAACTAAATATGGCGAATAAACGACAATATTGAAACCAAACCATACAGCAGAATTAACCCTCAAAGTATTTTAATGTACAATATTGCTCAAAAAAACACAAACTGCAATAAATAATAATAATACAGAATTCAACGCTTTGTATTAGGGCTGAACAATTTTAAGAAAAAACTGCATTGCGATTTTTCTGGCAGATGTTGCATATATATCGATTTCATCCATGTTTTTTTTTCAAATCAGGTTTCAGTGCACATGAACATTTGCAAACATCTCAAAAACTTGCATCATACCAGAGTTTTGTACCGGCGTGACTACTACTGTCAAAATCTGTCATCACTTCACAGGCTTTATTTATTTAGCAGAAGAAACATTGATCGAGATGCCGGGCTTTTGCGTCGCATACGGACTGAACCTGGACTGAACCTGGACTGAACCTGGACTGAACCTGGACTGAACCTGGACTGAACCTGGACTGAACCTGGACTGAACCTGGACTGAACTCAGAATTTAACCCAGGGGACTAAATCGGGACTAAATCGGGACTAAATCGGGACTAAATCGGGACTAAATCGGGACTAAATCGGGACTAAATCGGGACTGATCCCAGACGTGAACTGGGAGGACGGATCCCGGAGGACGGATCCCGGAGGACGGATCCCGGAGGACGGATCCCGGAGGACGGATCCCGGAGGACGGATCCCGGAGGACGGATCCCGGAGGACGGATCCCGGAGGACGGATCCCGGAGGACGGAGCCCAGAATTTAACCGGGAGGACGGATCCCAGAATTTAACCGGGAGGACGGATCCCGGAATTTAACCGGGAGGACGGAACCCAGAATTTAACCGGGAGGACGGAACTGGGACTGGAACCCAGAATTTAACCGGACGACTAAACCGGGTCTAAACCAGGTCTTCGATTAATCGTTAACGTTTTTATGTAATATCAAGTATCATCATCATTATTACTATTACTAATCTGCATAAATAAACTCAACTTTACAACATATAAACCATAATCACTGTAAAGCCACATCAGCCCGTTTGAGATTATAATGTTTTTAATGCAGCTTTGACACATTTGTTTACGTTTTACAGATTTACAAAACTTAAAACCACATGGCTAATTTGCATAAACTGTAAGCAAAGAAAACAGCTCTTTCCTTGTGCGCTGATGCGGTTCAGCTTCTGTCGGACTAAAGGACACAACTCTGTGGAATTTAGGTGTTCTTTATGTGACTGAGGGATGTTGATGATGCAAGTGTGACAAAGTTTACTGAACAAAACCTGGGTCATTTACACGGCTTTGACGCTCCCAAAATTGTGTTGTCTGAGATCGCGATTTTCGGTCCAAAACAATACATCGTTCAGCCCTACTTTGTATCTGTAATGAATTATACAAGTTTATAATTTGACGTCTACAGCTCAAATGTCATTGTAGCACAGAAAAAGAACCAAAACCTTCCCACAAGTGTAAGAAACACCTACTCATGACTAATACTGACCCCTCCGAATGTATTCCTCCATCTGTCATGTATCAATGAGTCACTGTAGTGTTTATTGTGACAGATCTGACAATTATCACTTTAAATCTGATCAGAACTGTTTGTCCTTTTTAGGCCAACTCGTGTAAAGACTTCCTGTCCAAGATCTTCCAGGACATGACCCTGCGCAAAGTCCCCCCACCCCCGCTCAGGGGCTGTCAGCTCATCTATGTGGCTGGAGGGTACAACGGCGGGTAGGCTCTAGTGCCTACGCCTTCACTTTATATATATACTAATAAATATACATATATACTGTGTGCCAGGGGTGTCAAACTCAAATTTAACTCAAAATTTTAAAATGGGACTAAGCCAAACTAAGTATTTATTGAAAAATGTCAACATCTTTTTGCATGTTTTCTTTCGAGATATGTAATGTTTAAACCTTTTCTTCTTAAAATAAATGTTTAATAATAGTTTTGCTTAAACATTGAATCCAGAACAAACATAATATAAAACAACAAAATTTTAAATAATGTCTCGATAGTCAGACAGATTTGATATGATCTTGTGGGCCAAATATAATTCTATAATGGGCCAAATTTAGCCCCCGGTCCTGAGTTTGACATGTCTGCTGTATACACTACCTGTCAACACTTTGGACACAGTTTTTTATTTTTTCATGATTATTTACACTGTAGATTCTCACTGAACTCATCGTAACTATAAATGACATGTGGAATGTGGAAAACAAAAAAATAAACTAAAAATAACTTGACCTTTTATTTTAGATTTTTAAAAATAGCGCTTTGTTTTGATCACTGCTCTGCACTCTTGACCCTGACAAAGCACAGCTGTGAAGTGAAGACCAGACACTACTGCTCAAAAGTTTTAGAACACCACACTTTTTCCATTTTTTTTTTTTTTTTTTACTGTTGAACAAAACATATTCTAAACTTTTGATTCATGAAAGTGTCCACCTTTGGCAGATATAACAGCTGAACACACTCGTGGCTCGTTCTTTTTACAATAGAAATCAAATATTCTTCAGAAAGTTGCAGAAGTTCCCATAAATGTGTGGCACTTGTAGGTTTCTTGGCTTTTACTCTTCTGTCCAGTTCATCTCAAACCAGCTCGATGGGGTTTAAGTCTGGACACTGTGCTGCTGGACACTCCATGTTTTCAAGTTTACCATCTTGTTCTTTTTTTCCTGAGGTAGTTTTGGCAGAGCTTGGACTTATGTTTTGTATCTTTTATCTCTTTTTTTAAACCTCTTTTAATCCATTTCAAGCTTTTCATTGGACTTGCCACACTTGAATTGCGCTAAATAACTGGAAAAAATTGGGTGTTCTAAAACTTTTGACCAGTTAAGTACAAAATAATGAGTTTTCACTTTTCTTTACTACATAATTACTAAATATCTTGCCTTTTTATATTTGATATCTTCCATATGTATATAAAATGTTGAAAAATGTTATGTAGTAACAAAAAAAAAAAACACTGAAAATTAATGTGTCCAAACTGACTCGTAGTGTACTTATATTTTTAAGATCAATCTGAAACAATCTAAAGATGCCTGAACGTGCATCTTTCTTAATTTCGACCATTTCACGTTTTTGCTGAAATCATGACAAATCAAATCAAATCTGACCTGTAACTTGGCCTGGTTACACCTTCTGCTTGTCTCCACGAGGAAGTTTAATACCATATTGTGAAACATTCTAGGTAAATCAGTAACATCTCCGTGGAGACGAGCACCAGGTTGACTCTCCACCCAAAAGTTACGTTACCTTTAAATTGAGAGGATCATTTTGGTGATGACTTAATTGTTAAAGAGCTGAGATTACGGTATTTTCTGAGCTATGTTATGTTTCCCGATCACAAACAGACCTGGAGCTGTGTTTTGTTTCATCCACACATGTTTAGTGCACAACAAAACTAGTGTGCTCCACTGTGTTTTTAAACTTTATACACCTTCACTAGAATCATTTGGATCATTTCAGCCCTGGAATTGCTGATCTCTTCTGAGCTAAAGGGCATTTTGAGCTTTAAAGATGTAAACAGTCATGATTGAGTAATAAAAAAAACTTGGAGAAAAGAGAATATTGATCCACAAGGGACATTATTTGGACACAGTAGCTCACTGTTAGGGGAAGAAACAAAAGAACCAAGATGGAAAATGGAATAAATTAAAGTTTAACAGGGATGTAAAAGGTAAATTAACAAAACAGACTAAAATATGTACAGAAAATAACCAACTAAGAAACAAAACAGAATTATACGAGTTTTGTGCCATAAAACGGGTCACAGAGGCTTACACAAAAACGAGTGATTAAACTAAGGGACACACACAAAACTAAAACACAAACCACATAAACCCACGAACAAAATAAAGTGTGAATGAAACAAAACAACTCCAGGTCTGTTTCTGAGGAGGTAACAATATTATAACATGGCTTAAATCTCACAAGAGTCAGTTTTGCGTGACACTTGTTTCTCTGTTCAGTTACAGGCAGCAGTCTCTGCCCACTCTGGAGGCCTATGACCCCAGGAGGAACCTGTGGATCCCTCTGGCCGACATGGAAGCGCCCTGCAGCGGCCTGGGAGCCTGCACCCTCTTCGGACTGCTCTACACTGTGGGTTTACTGCTACAAATGAAAAAAATTCCTATTAGATTTAATATTCTCAGCAAAACATACCTGGAGATGAATTTTGTTTCATTCACACATGTTTGAGTGATTACTAGGGATGTAACAATAACTGAAATATCGTGATATCGTTAAAATTCTCACAATATCGTGGACCATCAGAATATATCGAGTTACAAGTCTCGATGCTTAAATGAAGTTATGGTGCAGCAATAGCTAAAAAAAAAGACTACATAGACCATGATCCTTTGCTCCATTTCAGTGACTACAGAGAAAGAAGTTCCAAGCACTTAAGTCTTGTCAAGGCATTTTAAGAGGAATACCAGTTAAGTTTTGTTTGCCTCCACAGAATATCGCAATAAATATCGTACCATGAGATGTATATTGTGAAAATATTGTAAAGAGAGATTCCCTAATCATGAGCCTCCCCATCATATCGAGCTTTCCCACGATATTGCAATAAATATCGTACTGTGACAATATCATACTGTGAGACTTGGATATCGTTACGCCCCTAACGTTTACTAGCCAGACTGGCGCCACCTTGTGCCTCCGCTCAATTTCATTTCTCTCCAGCGACTAGGTCAGGAATCAGAATACACTAGACGGTTCGCAAAAACCCCGGAAGTGCGAGTTTGGGCACCAGCCAATCAGCAAAGAGTCATATATTCTGTGTTGGCAACGATTCCTGAGATCGAGGATTTAAAGCCGGAACAAATAGAATGGTGAATTTTATCAAGGGGAAAGACGTTATTGCCCTTCTTCATACGGGATTTGGGAAAAGCTTAATATACCAGTTAGCCCTGTTAGACATGCATCACGACCAAATAGCAGTGATTGGTTAAATAAAAAAATGTACCTGCCTACTGTTGATCGAACGAATTCTAACACTGCGAGGTCAGACGGTTTTTACGAAGTGAAACCGGCTGATGAATCAGGCTGCCTGTTTACATCTCCAAAACTCAAAATACTTTGTACCACACAGCCTTATATTATTGCTTTACGTACACATTGTTGTTTTGTTTCATTTTTATTTTACACCATAGTGTAACCAAATTTTGTGCAAAGTATAATTTAAACAAACTGTACTTAGCCTTTGCTCTTACTGGTTTAAAAAAAAAGTGCAATCACAACTGAACCTGTGTTGCAAATGTTTTAACCTGCAGATAGACACATACAAGTCCGTCTCATTCTCAGTTTATGGACAGGCCTCATGTCAAAACTCAGAACCTCCAGAATTCACTCCCTGAGCTACAGAGGCTGCACTAGCACTGACTCATTGCTGGTTTTCCTGGGGTTTATGTCGTGACCGTTCAGATCAGAGGCATTTTAGGTTTAAACTAATTGAATTTCAGCTCTGAAACTGGCAACCCAAATACTTTCTGATTAGATAATCTACTTGAGAACCAAAATACCAAATTCCTAGTCAGAGCTGTACTTGATTTGAACATTTTTAGCTTGTATCTTGGAGCACAGTTAGGTCATGCTAATAGATTTTAAAATTTAACTCTAAATTTAACTTTTCATACAGTTTTTTTTTTTTTTTTTTACTTAGACTTGGAGAAACCTTTATTGATCCACATTGAAATTATTTGGACACAGTAGTTCACACATCTCAATATAATAATAAATGGCAAACATGATATTTAAAGCCTATTTTGGGAATAAATAAAGGTTATCTAATGTTATTCCTTCATATTTAGTACATCCTTCCTGTTTTTAAGTTAAGCTCTGTCATCAAAGTTGTGCTGATAATTTCAAAGCTCACCTTTTTTTTGTTTAATAGTTTTCCAGATTTGAGCGTGTTACCAAATGCTTTCTTTTTCCACTGCGCCATTTACCCAAGTTATTTCCTGTAAACTGGTCACACCAAGATCGAGTTTCAGGACTTTAAAGGTCAGACCAGTGAATCATTTTGCCTCTTTGGTGATTTTCAGGTGGGTGGGAGGAACCTGTCCCTCCAGAATAACGTGGAGTCCAGCGCTCTGTCCTGCTACAACCCCATGACCAACCAGTGGCGCCAGCGCGAGTCCCTGAACACGCCCAGGAACAGGGTGGGCGTGGCCGAGGTGGACGGGTGCATCTACGCCGTGGGGGGGTCCCAGGGCTCCACACACCACAGCACCGTCGAGAGGTGAGGACGCTCTGACTTACACTTACTCCCTTAAAGTTGGTCTCAGAGTATTATACTACATAAGGGTGATTTTTACAGTTGTAGGGAGTATTATCTGTTACATAAGGGTGAGTTGTGTTGTGAGTTGTACAGCTGTAGGGCGTATTATAAAAAGGTGAGTTGTACAGTTGTAGGGAGTATTATATAAGGGTAAGTTGTAAAGTTGTAGGGAATATTATGTTAAATAAAGGTGAGTAGTTATACAGTTGTAGGGAGTATTATCTGTTACATAAGGGTGTGTTTTTGTACAGTTGTAAGGATTATCTGACCTAAGGGTGAGTTGTACAGTTGTAGGGATTATTATCTGTGACATAAGGGTGAGTTGTACAGTTGTAGGGATTATTATCTGTGACATAAGGGTGAGTTGTTGTACAGTTGTAGGGATTATTATCTGTGACATAAGGGTGAGTTGTTGTACAGTTGTGTGGATTATTATGTTACATAAAGGTGAGTTGTACAGTTGTAGGGAGTATTACATAATGGTGAGTTGTTGTACATTTGTAGGGAGTATTGTCTGTAACATAAGTGAGTTATTGTACAGTTGTAGGGAGTATTATCTGTGACATAAGGATGAGTTGTTAATACAGTTGTAGGGAGTATTATCTGTGACATAAGGGTGAGTTGTTGTACAGTTGTAGGGAGTATTATATTAACATAAGGGTGAGTTGTGCAGTTGTAGGGAGTATTATCTGTTACATAAGGGTGAGTTGTTGTACAGTTGTAGGGAGTATTATATTAACATAAGGGTGAGTTGTGCAGTTGTAGGGAGTATTATCTGTTACATAAGGGTGAGTTGTTGTACAGTTGTAGGGAGTATTATATTACATAAGGGTTAGTTGTACAGTTGTAGGGAGTATTACCTGTAACATATGGTTGAATTGCTGTACAGTTGTAGGGAGTATTGTATAAGGGTGAGAAGTTGTACAGTTGTAGGGAGTATTATCTGCAACAAATTTAGTTATTGTACAGTTGTAGGGAGTATTATATTGCATAAGGATGAGTTGTACTGTTGTAGGGAGTATTATCTGTTACATAAGTGTGAGTAGTTGTACAGTTATAGGGAGTATTATATTGCATAAGGGTGAGTTGTACAGTTGTAGAGTTATCATTACATAAAAGTGAGTTGTAGGGAGTATTATCTGTTACATAAGTGTGAGTTGTTCTACAGTTATAGGGAGTATTATTTTATGAAAGGGTGAGTTGTTGTACAGTTGTAGGGAGTAATAAAAAATAGCTGTGATACTAAGTCTTTGTTAAACCACTTCTGTACAAAATGAATATGAAACACACCCATTTTACTCATCAAAACTGAAAATGTCAAATGTGTCACACGAACGAGTTTCCTTCCAGTGAAGCAGCAAAACTAATTTAGTAAAATCTACAAAAAAAAAACACCTCTTCGTGATATTGATACAACAGTCTGATATTGATACTGTATCATCACATTAAACTGTACAGTATTTCGATATATTAATATTTTTGCACACTCCTAGTCTGGAGGTATAAGGAACAGTGTGATTGGTCTGACAGGTATCCACACTTCAAACACCGCCCCTGCAGCCAGATGTGTGTAATTAAAAAAAAAAAGCAGTTCTGTGTGATATCACATACTACTTGAAATTGCAGAGGTTATTGGAGGCAGCACACAAAGCTGCAAATGTTTTAGTTTGCATTAAAGCTGACAAAAAGGACTGGAAACAGGCAGTGCTATTAATACATCATATACGAAGTTTAGTAAGGGAAGTTTATTTAGTTTCACTTTTCAAGGGGCTTATTGTCATGTGGTGATACAGGAAGTGCTCCACTGTGTTTTTAAACTCCATACACCTTCACTTGAATCATTTGGATCATTTCAATCTTAAAACTGCCAGTCTCTACTGAACTTAAGGTAAAAGGAGATGTTATTTTGAAAACTAGCACTACGTGACATCACAAGGTGGAATAGAGCATTCTGAGGTGGACAGACTAATAATAAAGGATCACTCAAACTTGTGACTTGAGTGCTCAGAAAGTCTACCCCCCTTATCCCCGCCCACTCGTCTGTACTTACTGCAGTTATTTGAAAAATTCAGACCGTGGGTTTCCTCACTGTTGTGCTGCTTTTTCCAGTGTCTCGACTCGTAATCTGCCGTGTCACTGCTGATAAGAAATGTTTCTCAGCGGCGTTGCCAAGTTAAATAGATCTTGCATAAGTGTGCTGGGTAAAAGTTGCTGCTCTCGTAAACATGTTGTAGCCTACACATCATTATCTAATACTGTACAGTTCATACACTGTTTTTAAAAAGTAATTCCACTGATCCTGTAAAAGCCTGTTGCCATTAGATGTTTATCAAGTAGCATTTCCAGATACACGGGGGTTCAGTTGGAGAACAGCGCTGTTGAGTTTAGGTCATTTCTGATTAAACTGCTGATTTTATCAACCACACCAACATGGCCGACAGTTTCTCCTAATCCTTGAACTCGCTCAGAACATAGAAGTATAATAAAATCTGGAAGATGAATCTAAGATGGCGCTGTATTGTTTTGAGGCCTGTCGAGTTTGGCACATGGGCCCAAAAAATATTTTTACATGGGGCTAGGCTCAGTCTTACAAAACTAACTTTTACGCACTTTGAGGATTTACTAATTTCTTTTGTTTTGTTATAAAAATAGAAAAGAATCCCTACAAAATCCAACCTCCGTCAAGTTGTCGATGCTCTGTCAGCCGAACACGGGCAGGTTGAATTCCCAAAAAATACATTGCAATCTGCTGGAGAATTCTTTCTGGGCCCATCTCCTGGGAGCTGCAGTACCTGGAGTGGCCACTAGTCTGTCTGGAGCTGGGTCAGTTATCCAGTTTTTATTATAGATCAGTAGCTCAGAGGTGAAACGGCAAGCACATGCTCCAAGTTGACTCACTAAAACAGATAACGGCAAAGCCAAGATTTGAGCAGGTCTGTGTATATAAATGTGCACAACCTAATTAGTCGAGTGGGAGGGCCAATTATAAAGTTAATGAATTCATTAATCAATGGATTTATACAGTGCCTTTCAAGACACCCAAAGCGCTTTTACAGAGCATTATTCATTCACTGCACACTCGCGGCCCTGGGACAGACTGACAGAAGCGAGGCTGCCAATCTGCACCATCAGCCCCTTCAACCAACACAAACACACGCATCACTTTTATACTCGGCAATCTGGGTGTCTTGCCTAAACACATAATGACGGTTTTTGCCACTGGCGTCCGACTGTGGCACCTGATTTTCCCAGTGGTCTCCCATCCACGTCCTAACCAGGCCCGGCACTGTTGAGTTTCTAAGATCTGACAGGCTTAGACTTTGGCAATTCAAAAAAGCCAAGTGATTTATACTGTATGTGTTAAAATCCTGCTTGGGGTTAGCTCTACAGTCTCTGAAAGTTGTGAGAAGTGTGTAATAAAAAGCGAGGTAGGCAGGTGAGGAGTAACTTTTAAAAATGTTAGATATTTTTATTTTCTCTATATATTTTTTGTAATTATTTGTCCACCATTGTCCGTTTTTGGTTTAGTGCACAGCAGGCAGAAAAGTTGTCTTCCTGTTTGCTTTTATGCTTCATCTTCACAAATATCTATTGTTTCCAGGTGGGACCCAGAGACCAACCGCTGGGCCTACATCAGCCCCATGTCGGTGGCTCGTCTGGGGGCAGGGGTCACGGGCTACGGGGGGGCTCTGTACGTGGTGGGGGGCTTCGACGGGCAGAACCGCTGGAACAGTGCAGAGAAGTACCAGCCTGAAACCAACACCTGGGTGCAGCTCGCCCCCATGGGCACCGTGCGCAGTGGCCTGGGTAAGTCTGACCACAGGTACAGTTCACATTCAACAGTTTGATCATGTTGAAATGGTAGAGGAGCCAAAAACTGAAAAGTAAGAGTATCGTTGATTCTAAATATTAGTAGCAGAGGTGTGAAAAAGTACTGAAAAATTGTAATTCAGTAAAAGAATCTTTAATGCTTAAAAGTGAAAATAACCATCTAAAAATCTACTTGAGTAAAAGTAAAAAAGTATGTCATTTAAAATTTAATTATCTGATGTAAAAAAAAAAAGTGATAGTTTTAATCAATTTTTTTAAAGACAACTGAGGTCACGAACACTTTAACACTTGCATTATGTTATTCTGTATTTTGCATTTGAAAACAAATGGCTCAGAGGTTTGGTCAAGGGTTTCCTTTGCTTATACTCTCGAGAATAATTAAATGCACTTTTTTTTTTTTTTTTTTTTTTCATATCGTCCAGGACGACCTCGATCTGTCTCAGCACCAGCATCATTCAGGTTGATCCAAGATAAAGTGATGGTTCAGTACAATGACTGTACATTCTATAGAGAAAATGCTGCAGTTTCCTTTCATTTCCGGCAGATTTTTTATTTTTTTTACTCAGTAACGAGGGTGGGTTTCAGTGTAACGATGTAAAATTACCTATTTCAAAAACTATTAAAAAAAATTACAAATAACTGCTAAATAATAATCAATAAACATGAAAACTACTCAATTACAGTAACATGAGTAAATGTAATTTGTTACTTTCCACCTTTGCAAAGTAGCCCGAGAAAATACTCAACAGTAACTGTTTCGACACAACATTTTAGTTGGAAATTTGAATTTAAATAAACAAAAATCCTGAACATCTGGTATTTTAAAAGGACAGAATGTAGTGAAAAAAGTCATTTCATTTTTTTCCATTTAGATTTGAGACTGAGCTGATTTTTACGATCTTAAAACATGAAAAACAGAACTAGTCCTTTTTAAAAAAAACGTTTGCAGTGGTCCAAAGTTCTTCCTCACCTTATGTATTCAGAGCATCTTGATTATTCACCAAGATGAGTTTGAGCGCTTTTCACAACTTTAAGAGGCCAGAGCGGAGTTTTGCTGTGACGGTAAAGCAACAACTAGCATGCTAAACACGCAATTCCTGTTTCACATAGAATAAAACTAATTAGTTGCAGACAGCAGGCATTGCTCTTATTTTAACTCTGTAAGAACGGCTTTTATAATACATCTGTACTGGGATAAAACGGATTTGATTTGATTTAATGGTCCCATCTTTCGTTTGTTTTTTGTTTTTTTTCTCATTTATTTTATTATGTTTCCTCATCAGAAACAGACCTGGAGTTGTTTTGATTCATTCACACATGTTTAACACACAAACCCTGAATATTAGGCTTCTCCCAAACTAAAAACACAGTGGAGCACATCCTGTAGAGTGTTTTCAAACTCTATACACCTTCACTAGAACCATTTAGATAATTTCAGCCCTGGAATTGCCGATCTCTACTGAACTAAAAGGCAAAAAGTAGCTGTTAACTTAAAGTACCACTTTTGAGCTTTGGAGATGTAGACGGACTAGTAATGAAGGGTTACTCAAATGCATGAATGAAGCAACTCCAGGTCTGTTTTTGATGAGGAAACATTATAACGTGACTTAAAGCTCATGATTTGTATAAAATAGGACGTTTAATTACATGAAAAAATCGAGTACAGCCTCTTAAACACAGGTTTCCCACGGTCACAGAAATCCTGGAAAAGTCGGGGAATTTTCTTTCACACAACTACAGCGTTCTGTTAAGTTCTCATTATGCTATGATTATTTCTGAACATATGTGCCTTTTGTTTAAAAGAGATGACAATAAATGCACTGACAGGATTTTGTTAAAAAAAACGAATGCAAAAGAAACAGAAAACTCACACCAAAATTCTTGTAGAGGTGCAAATACAAGGAGCAGCAAGACAAAAGTGAAAAAATGCATAGCACACTCAATGACCGATGTCCAAAAGCTTTTTTTTATTTTTAAATAACGTTTTGGCAAAATAAATCCTTCGTCAGATATTTTTCTTGCTTTAGACCAAAGTATAACTAAAAAAAACTATAATACCAAACCATAAGGTGAGTGGAAAGGGTTAACATTTCATATTTAGCCCTAAAAGTCTGAAATTCGCTTTTCAGAACATGTTTGTCGCAGTCTGTTAACGCTGCATCGATATATTTTCATATTTCTCCTCCCTCTGTGTGCGTTCTAGGCCTGGTGTGCATAGGCTCGTACATGTACGCCATCGGGGGATATGACGGGCTCAGGCAGCTGTCGTTAGTGGAGCGCTACAACATCAGCAGGAACGTGTGGGACGTCCGGGCCCCCATGGAACAATGCCGCAGTGCACATGGAGTCGCCGTGTACTCCGGACGCATATACGTCTTCGGTCAGTCTGCTGATGTCTGTTTTCATAAGTTTTAAGTCTGGTTCATACATGCATCATGAATTTCAGACTTCTGGTCATCGCGCAATGCATACTGGAAAGGATTTTTTTGAAAAAGTGAGCATCAAACTGCCATGTTTGATTTCCCAGTTTGATGCGTGTATTGACAAAGCCGATCTTTACTTTCTTGTGTGGTTGTTGGATCCTAACGGCGAAAAATGGCTTGAGAAATGGGCTTCGGAAGTTTGCGAACTCCATAAATGCAAAAGGGAATCAGATCTGTGTGACTGCAAACCTCTGTTCAAACTGTTTCCCTTCCCAACGGAATTGAAAAATAGTGAAATGCGAAGGCGATGGGCAGGACTGATCCACAGGAAGGACCAAAAACGAAACTTTTGGCTGCCTAAGAAATCATCCCGAGTTTGCAGCGAACATTTTGTATGTGGAGCAGCAACAAAGCGGGATGAAAAGATCGGGTTTGACAATAGACTCATCCCACTGGGAAAACAAACATGGCGGTTTGATGCTCACTTTTTTTGGAAAATCCTTCCCAGTATGCGTTGCGCGATGACCAGAAGTCTAAAATTCATGATGCATGTATTGATGATCAACTTTCCCTGAGGATGTGACGCAAACTAGAGGCTCTGTTAGACTTTATTTTTAGCTTTATTTGATTGCAATCTGACCATTAAGAACTGAATTGGCTCGAATTACAACAAGTGAGCTGATTTCACTTCGGTCTTTATTAAGAACACATGATTTGGTGCTGTTAAACATTAAACAGTTTTTTTTCAGTTCATACCTTTTTGTTGAAAATCAAACAGGATCATGACCATGCGCTGTGTTAAATATATTTGAAGTTTTTCTTGAGTTTTCATCTTCAAACATATTTGACAGTGTTTACTAATCTGTACGTGGTGTCTCCTTGGTAACTTCTGAACATACCACCGTAGAGATACATGTAGAAAACCCCCACGCGATGTCACTGCAAAGTACCGCATCAATAAACTCATTGCATTGACTACAGAGCTTTTCCTCAACATGTAATTTAGGCATGTTATATTTGTGTCGGTGATTTGGTTTTGACTTGAATGCCCTTAGACTCCCAGTATTACTGTGTCACTTATTGAGTACGGCTAATTGCTTACTGTAAATAAAGTTTGGCAAAAAAGACAGTGAAGGTTATCCCAGGACATTACAAAGCGTTAAATGACGTGTGTGAGCAGAAAGGACACGACACAGGACAACTTAAAGGACACACATTATGCACTCTTGTTCTTTAATTCTCCTGTTTTCTTTAGAGCTCCCTCTACTGTCAGAAATGGATAATGTAAACAAATGAAGCTCTGAGGAAACGTGACTGATACAATAATAGAGCCATGTGTTTGTTGTGAACACAATTTCGACTTACAAACTGTGGCAGGAGAAGTCCGGATATTTACCTGTGACTTCACAAAACGGGCAGAATGTAAATGGAGCATTTTTAGTGGGCAGAGATGACTTTGTATATATATTTTTTGGTATTTCTTTTGTTTATCCATTAGTCCAAAGATTTTACTGGTATGAATGTGTCCCCTGTGTTTGATGGTGCTGGGGCCGCCTGTCAGGAGCAGTGGGACCCGCCTCCAGATCTTGAACTGGTCTTGGTCAGGACTATCTGTCTAAACCTAAGTCTAAAGTCAAATCCTCCAGCTCAAACTTTATTGATCCACAAGGAAATGATTTAGACACAGTAGCTCACACAATAACAAAGGGTAAAAAATATAAATGGTAATAATAAATTCTAAAAATTCAAAAAAGAGCAAGAGTCTGGTGTAAAGTAAGACTTAATTATATAAACGTAAATGTACAAGTTAAAATAAAATATAAAATCTCAGCTATATACAGGAGGTCACAGGAAGACAGTGCAACAGTGATATGATGATTGACAGGACATGAGGTTTTCTGTTACATAAGGGTGAGTTGTTGTGCAGTGTGACCTTTTGGAGCTTGTTTTGACTTGATGAGGGGAAAAGTGAGGATCTAGGGACCACCCAGATAGAGAGAACATGCCACCTCAATGGCTTAGTTTCCTTCTTGTGATGTCATAAGGGGGCGATTCAGGAAGTAGAAATAGAAGCTCAAATTTCCTGCATTAAGCTGTGTGTCAACTAGCTCAGGTCAAGTCTTAACGCCCTCTGCTGACAACACTGATGTTTATGTTCAGAGCTGAATTCCTGTTACAATGTCCTATAGTAATATAATATTTTAAAGGGTAATTCCACCTCAGTTGACCCCAAAAAATGCAATTTGAACCCTCACATTGTCCAATTGCAAAGAAAATTGGTGCATGAGTAAGTCAGAGCCAAGAAAGCACAAAATCTCAAATTTTAGTTTGATCAGACCATCGGTTTCCGATTTTGGTTTCTTTTTTTGCGTGATCGCTGAATTTCAGATTGCATTTACTCAGCAACTAGTGGACCGATATCACAAACCAATGTATCTCTGGAAAGGACATAAGGAATCTGGCATTTATTTTTGCATCTGAGTACTTTTGAGATGAATTATAGTTTGACCCTGAAATTTACAATAAGGGGTGCGCATCAATGACACCAATAGAAAAAAATTTAGCCCTATAAGTCTTGTAACGGTCCCAAATATTTATATATATAATTTCGCGCTTGTCTTTATATTTTACTTTGCGCCATCTAGTGGTCAATCACAATGTGGAACAAAGTATAATAGAAAGTTCCGCCCGAACCTAATCAACTTGCGCACCTTGCTGTCAACACATTGCCGCGGACATGTGAATATCTCCGGTAAGATGAGAATAAGTCAGATAAAATTTTATGGGAATAACAATGTAAACACTTGTTTATTGTTTTTATTTAGTATATAGCGAAGGGATTTGAAGCAAGATTAACAATTAGCCCCCTCGTGGATGTCAGCCCACGAGGTTTGTGTGCTTTATTATTATATTGTATTATATTGTAAGGTGCAGAGTTAATTTTGATGTTTTATTTATTATTTTCTTTGCTGCCAGTTCTCACGGGTTGAAGAGTGAATAAACCCTGTTAAAAAACCTCGTCCTCATGCTCATTCCTTGAGGGGTGCTACAAGTCTACTACAACATATTAAAAAATCGGGAGGGGTTTTCTTTATTTTTACACATATTTACTTGCCCTCATCTTAAGACATGCCAAAAGACATTCCATTCAGTGTATACGGCTGACAAAGGAACACACATACAGTACCATCCTTTTGTCCCTGTCTCCCTGACACAGATGCATGTCTATAAACTCGGTGAACAGGCAAACTCCCCTGATTTAGTTGCAGCTCATGAAGGACAAACGAGTGAAGATGGACACAAAGGCTGTTGGACCAGTAGTTGCTGAGTAAATGCAATTTGAAATTTGGCGACGACGCAAAAAAGTGAAAAAATGAAATTGCAATATCTCGGAAACTGTTGGTACGGTCAAACTAAACTTTGTAAAATTTTGATGAAACTTGGAAAATTGTGGGTAAATCATGGGCCAGAAAAGCTAAAATTTCAAAGTAGGGTTTAACTCATTGGGTGAACTGAGGTGGACTGACCCTAAACTGCAAAACGTTTTAAAAAGTATCTGCAAAATCTCCTCACTAATCATGACAATTTGCTTCTATGGTGTTTGTACTTTTTTTCCAGGCGGCTTCAACCAGCACGGCTTTTTGTCCAGCGTGGAGTGCTACTGCCCGGAGCGAAACGAGTGGGCCACGGTCACGCAGATGTCCATGGGGCGCAGCGGGATGGGCGTCGCCGTCACCATGGAGCCCTGCCCCGGGAGCCTGCCCGAGCTGGAGGACGAACAACAACAGCAGCAGCAGCAGCAACAGGAGGAGGGGGCAGGGGTCAGGTAGCACAAGGCCACCACCAGGGAGAGTCCAAGAGCTGCTTCTGTCGTCTGCTGTAATGGGCAAGGAACGGACGATTATACTAGATTGTGTTTGAGAGTCTGATGTCAACATTTCAGATGGATGCCGTGGGTTAAATTAATGTAACTTTTATTTATTTTTCTCATTTGACCCATTTTTCGTACCCGTCAGGAGCAGTTCGCAGTTCCCATGAATTTTTATGTAGGTAAATAGACTGCGTTCACCTTCTAGAAGCTGATGATGTTGTGAATTTTTTTGTCAGGAGTACCTAGCTGGAGAAATGTTCTATTTGGAAAACTGAAGGAGCGAGAGGAGACCCATCCAGGGAATAGAACCAGGAACCTTCTTGCTGTTGGTGGAAGTGACGCTTGTGCCACCATATTGCCCAATGTGTTTTTAGAGATTACGTCTACATATTTGTCACACTTATTATCCTACAGAATATAATTACATAATAATAATTCAAGGTAGTACAACTAAAGGTGCACTATGGAACTTTTCTGGTGGAACGTCACTTTTTCCTGATTATTTTTCTAATTATTTTGTTCAAACTAAACGGCAAATAGGTGATTATTTTATTTATTGGTCTCTTAAAAAAAAAAGAGGGGGCATTATGCAACTTAAGAGGTTTTTGACATCATCCCTGCATGTTTGAGTAATTTAGTGATCTCTCAAGTCCTATTCGAACCTCTAAGATTCTGTACGAGACTCTACCCACAAGCCTATGTCGCCCACACTCCCGCATGAAAATTCTCCATAAATACCGTATTTTTCGGACTATAAGTCATTCCGGAGTGTTAGTCGCACCAACCAAAAAAATGTGTAATGAAGAAAAAAATGTATAAGTCGCACTTTTGGGGGAAATTTATTTTATAAAATCAGAGACCAGGAACCAGTTATAGTAGTAATAGAATGGAGAACAGGCTGAACAGTTCTTCAGATAACTAACATAACCAGAACAAGTTTACCAAACTCTCCATCTCACTCTAAATCAGTAAATCCATTGAATTCTTCCTCCTCAGTGTCACTTCTGAGTAACTCCACGACCTCCGGAGGTAAACAGAGCGCCGCTTCCTCTTCTGTGTAGCTGTCATCAGACTCAGCATCAGTTCCAGTTAGAATTATTCTGGCCTTTCTGAATCCCGACAGGATGGTTTTGTTGTCACTGAAGTCCATGTGTTGTCGACTTCCAGGAAAGTTTCATGGTGCATACTCCCGGTTACCTTGAAGCTGCGTTCTCCTTCCCCGCTTTTCCCTAGTCCCTCACAAGTTTCTCGCTCACTCCAAACTTTCTTTCTGTTGCTTGATTAGTTTTCGGCTGAATATTTCACTACTTGCAGCAGGACAGAGGCTCTTTCCACAGGAGACATGCGCAGCAGAGCCAAGTGACAGTGGTACAGGGTAATAGAAGCAGATACCGACACACAAACGTAGAGCCTCTCGTGGCTGTCATTGTGAAAATTTTAATATTTTGCACCGGAGTACAAGTCTTAGAACCATCCAAACCATGAAAAAAGTGCGGCTTATAGTCTGAAAAATACGGTAAACAAACACTCAATACAAATCTGTACACTACAACTTCACAAACCTGATGCGATGTGCAGTAGTTTCCATTGCTCTGAAGGGGGAGTGACTTAACACGGGGAGCAAACAAAAGTGAAACTAAGAAAACACTAACTGCTCTAAATATATCACGTGTTAGCAGTTAAAACCTCACCAAGTAATATACCGCCTCTTTAAAGTATTTTTAGTTATAATTAATCTCCATGGAGACCAGCAAACGGATTAGCCACAACCAGAAAAGTTGCGCAATGCACCTTTTTATAATCCTTACACAAAAATCGAATAACTTTATTGTCATTACAGTACAGAAAAGGACTCTAACACACAATGTTGACGTCGCGTAACATTTTAGTCATTTTTCATCTGTTTTGAGTGGACGTGATTTAGACGCTGTGGACGCACAAACTGACCAATGAGACGCTGCCAAGACGATGAACCACAGTGTTGCAAGAAGTCACAACGATGCTATGTTTGAAATGTGCGTTGTAATGTAATTTAACTTGTACAAAAAGCAAAGTGTGATTATTCTAAGTGTGATTTTTTTTTTTTTTTTTTTTTTTTTTTTTTTTTTTGGTAATGAACTTTTGTATCGTGCGTCTACCTCCGCTCGGACCAGATTTTCGAATGGTCTGTCGCCAGCATTTTCACTCACTTTTGTAATTATTGTAAAGTAATTTGTACAAATAAATGTGATTAAAGTTGAACTGAAATCATGTTTTTTTTTTTATATTTTAGTATTAACATTGTAAGCTGTGAGAATTTGTTAACAGTTTAGTAAAGTTTTGTATTGATACTCTGCAGTGATGTCACGCTGGGGGTAGGGGGGGGGTTCTACATGTATGTGTCTATGGCGGAATGTTCTCCAGTTGTCACGGTGACACATGAGCGAAAACTGCCATACCGGTTTGTCAAAGCCTGATCCCGTCAGATCTCAGAAGCTAAGCAAGGACGGGCCTGGTTAGTACTTGGATGGGAGACCGCTGGGAATATCGGGTACCACAGGGGGGCGCCGGTCGCTAAAACTGTTGTCGTGTCCTTAGGCAAGACCCTTCACCCACATTGTCTAGTATGAGAGTGTTGTGTACGTGAGTGATGTGATCAAAATGACTGTTCGTGGTCCTGTTCGGGAGTTTGATTTTCAATTAAAAGGTGAGAAACAAACTCACCTTTTCAAATTGGCATTTCCCCCATGATTCCCTCGTTTTCTACAGTGTTACTTTTATTTGTAAAGCGTCTTTGTCCAAAAAAGCGCTGTATAAGTCTGATGTATTATTATTAGAGTTGGCTTGTAAGTAGTTTTACGTGTGAGAGACTTATTTAACAGTGCAGCTCATCTCACCTGTTGTACTTCCAACAAAAATCAGCTCTTTCTGAAGAAATTGTGTTAAAATAAAACTCAGATTGACGTCTAACTTGAGTCAAAGAGCTTCAGACGGAGCAGTGCTTCCAGTTAGCTTCACACCCGCAGGCAATGTTGACGACATCAGCTGCAAAGTATCAACACTTGTAGTAACTGAGTAAGTTTTTTAGCTGCGTACTTTTACCTGAGTACAAATCTTCAGTACTCTCTCCGTAAGTGGTGTGTGCGCCAATGATGGTGGTGGTCAAAGGGGCTGATAACGCAGACTGGCAGCCTTGCTTCCGTCAGTCTGTCCCAGGGCAGCTGTGGCTACAGTAGTTATGGAGTTTACCACCACTGAGAGTTGAGTGAATGAATAATGAACTGTAAAGAGCTCCTGGTATCCTGAAATGAGCTTTATAAATGCAATTATTAGTTAAAATGTTTCAAGATCATTTCAAGACAAAAATACAAAATGGATTTAAACAACATTTTCAATTTGATTTTCAACTAAAAGGGTGATCATCTGTTGTATTTCCAGCTAAATCAGTTCTTTATGGTCAGATTATGCTAAAACAAAACTCAGATTAAAGTCTAATTTGTGTAGTCGCTCTTCAAACGGAGCAGTTCCTCCAGTTAGCTTCACACTCCCAGGGAATGTAGACGATATCAGCTGCAAAGTATCAATCCGTTCATTTTCTATTTTTGACGTTATTTTGATTTTCAACCAGCAAATATTTACAATTATTTATTAAGACACTACCACGATCTTGCCACTAGATGGAGCCATCTGTTTATTAACTAATATTGGGTGAGATATAATTTTCATGTTGTAACAATAACTGTGTACAAAAAATAAAAAAATTTAACCAATAAATAAAAGTATAAAGGTAAAAGGACATTCTGACAGCTATAGACAATGTAATCAGTATCAATTATGTACACAACAAGTTCATGTTTTGTTCTTAAAGGGAGGCAGATTATGCAAATACTTGTGTTTTGATTGATTCGGGCATGTTTGGGCGATTCCTGTATTGTCTTACGTTTGAGGCTTGAGTGCTTGAGAAAATGTCTGTTTTCACCTACCCCCTATCCCCGCCCATAACTTTGTAAACTCAGACTCCGGGTCACACATGTAGGGTTTAAAAACGTCACCACGGGAGCTTCAGGGATGGTCCCGGTCGCACAAATACGCGTCCGTTTCACAGCTGTATTTCTTTATTTACAAAAACAAACAAAAGCATCGTCAGCTCTGATTGGCCGAAGCTCAGAGAAAATGCAGATTGTGGGTGTCTGCGGTCTTACAGTTTGGAAAAGTACTACAATCACAACTGAACCTGTATTGCCAGTGCCTTAAAGGTGCATTATGTAACTTTTTTTTCTGGAATGTTTCACAGTACGAAATTAAACAGCTCTGAACTTACATTTATTCAATCAGAGGGGGTTTCATAGCTCTAAAATACTGATTAAAACAGGCACTGTGGCTGTGAGCAGGGTCGTCTCTCCACAGATCTGACCTGTAACTTGGTCTGGTTTGGTCTCCATGACGATAGACTCCAGCATTAGAACTGGCAACCCAAACTACAGATTCGTGTGAGGCTCATTCAGCTTTCGGATTGGCGTCTTGAGAACCAGAACACCAAATTATAACATAAACAACTTGGCCAACACGTCCGATGTTTTGTAATTTAGAATAGATCAAGAGTAGAATTGTTATCGGTAAAAGTTATATTTGTTTTGAGCATGTTTACCTTGTATCTGGGGACAGAGTGACGTCAAGTTTATGGAATTTAAAACCAAAATCTTACATAAAAGGTTTCATAAGTTGTGCTCAATCTGTGTATCATTCAATCATTCGTTTTTCAGATCAGACCAGAACCAGACTGGGACAAAGACCAGGACTTAGACCGAGACCAGACCAGGACTGAGACCAGGGCTGAGACCGGGACCAGGACTGAGACCGGGACTGAGACCAGGACTGAGACCAGGACTGAGACCAGAATTGAGACAAGGGCTGAGACCGGTACCGAGACCAGACTAGGGTGAGACCAGGGAACAGGACCAGGACTGAGACTAGGGGTGAGATCGAGACCAGACCAGAACTGAGACCAGGGCTGAAACCAGGGCTGAGACCAGGACTGAGACCAGGACTGAGACCAGGAACTGAGACCAGGGCTGAGACCGGGAAGAGGACCAGGACTGAGACTGGGACTGAGACCAGAACTGAGACCAGGGCTGAGACCAGGACCAGACCAGAACAGAAACTGGGACCAGACCGAGACCAGACCGAGACTGAGACCGGAACCAGACCGGGATTGAGACCAGGATTGAGACGGGGACCAGGACTGAAATGGTTTAGTCCTGGTTTAGTCCTGGTTTAGTCCTGGTTTAGTCCTGGTTTAGTCCTGTTTCAGTCCTGTTTTAGTCCTGGTTCAGTCCATAGTCGGTGTAAAAGTTCGGCATCGCAGTTTAAGTCACGTAAACAGGAAACAGTTGTTATTCATTTTTTCCATTATTCATTTAAACACAAAATCGAAAACTGAAAAAAACAAATCATTATCTGTTTTTCATTTTGGTTTTGGAGACAAATAATGAAGAAAACAGTTGAGTTTTTTCTTATTTTCTGTTTTATTTTGAAAAACGAATGAACGAATGATACACGGATTGTGCACAAAGGACTGATCTAAAATGCGACTCAAATTGCATAAGTAAAAGTACTCATAGGTATTGTTTACTTTGTTTAAATGCACCTTTGATAGCTAATGATACATTGCAGTGACATCTCGCTGAGGGTGCTCTACATGCATCTCTATTGGCGGAATGTTCAGCAGTTACCGTGGTGACACAATGCACACATTAGCAAAAACAGATACAAAACAAACCATTTAAAGGCAGTCTGAAAACTCAAGAAAAAATACGAAATGGATTTAAAGAGCAGATTTTCAGGAGCCTGTGATCAAAATGAGTTTGAGCGTTCGTGGTCTTGTTCAAGGGTTTGCTTTTCAATTAAAAAGGTGAGAGCTAACTCGTAACTGTAGTTTTATGTGTGAGAGACTTGTTGAACAGCACAGCTCGTCTCACCCAGTGTAGTTCCAACAAAAATCAGCTCTTTCCGAGTAAAATCGTGTTAAAATAAAGATCAGATTAACGTCTAGTGCGCAAAAGAGCTTCAGACAGAGCAGTGCGTCCAGTTTGCTTCACACCCGCAGGAAATCTTAACGACATCAGCTGCAAAGTGTCAATAATTGAGTATATTTTTAGCTGTGTACTTTTACTCGGGTACAAATCTTCAGTACACTGGACGCGTCTTATCTATGGCTTGTATTTTCCACAATGATTAAGAATCAGCTCGAACAGGCTGATCCTAAACTCATCATCACGGAGTCACCCGCGTTCGTCATCCGTGTACGTCACCTGTCCTTAACCCCCCCACCCCCCCACCCGTCACCCTCCGTCTCACCCCCACCCGCCGTAAAACCCCGTCCCCCGCAGCCCTGTTATTCAAATGAAGTCCTCTCTAATCACACGGAGATTTGCGACAAAAGGCGTACCACGGTGCACCTTAAAATATCTATTTGTTTTTCGACTTAACGCGGAATAATGGACCCGGCAGGTGAAACGTGCAGGTGAAACGCGCAGGCTCGGGTTTCAAATGCCATATTCAGACTATGATAATGACCGTATTGACCAAGCGACCTGTTGGGAGTGGGATTAGGAGAGGAAATCAAACGTATGTGTAAGCAGTAAAGATGGGTGCAGGGTAACTTAAAGAGAACGTATTACGCAAAACTGACTCTTGTGAGCTTTAAGTCATGTTATAATCTTGTTTCCTCGTCAAAAACAGACCTGGAGTTGTGTTTTTTTCATTCACACACTCTTTATTATTAGTCTGTCTACATCTCCAAAGCTCAAAATGCTCTGGTCCAACTTGTGATGTCATGAAGCAGTGGTTTTCAAGTTACCAACCTTGCAGTAATGTGGTGACTCCTCAGCCGCATGTGCATTTACAACTGCACTTTTACATTCATACGAGCCAGATAAGCAGAGTTGAAGTGTCTTGCACAAGGACATAACAACAACAACAACTGACAAAAATAGAAATCAAACTCAAGGCCTGTTTACACGAGAACGCTTGTGGGTAAAAATGACAAAATATTTTATCCGAAGTTCCTTTCGTTTAGATGGTGATGGCGTTTTTTGGGGCTTAAAAACACAAAAATCTGAACCCACCCTCCAGAGTGGAAAAGTTGAATACGCTCCGCCGTAGCGTTTCTATCTACACTGCCCAAGACGCAAAACTCTGGTCAGATCTGCTCAAGTCGTGTACAAGTTAAGGTCAAATACGTCATCACCCTGAATTACACA